TGATTTAATTTGTGTCCTTACAAAGACTGGAATTCACCAGATTTCTGCTAACACTGACCTGCTCCTTCCTCTGCAAGTCCCATGGGAATCAGCAGCTTGATGTGTCTAGGAACTAGTGGTTCTGGTGCTTAACAAATTAGCATTATTGCAGACATGAGCAAGAAAAGAAGTGTAAGCTAACAGAATCATAGAACCACCAGGGTTGGAGGAGATCTCTAAGATCATCCAGTCCAACCATGAACCTGTCACTGCTGGAACCCCCAAACCCTAACCCAGATCCTCCAGTGCCACATCAGACACCTCTGAAACACCTCCAGGGATGGTGACTGCACCACCTCCCTGGGCAATATCCCAGTGCTGAACACCACAACAGGGAAAACATTTCTCCTCACCCCCAATCTGACTCTGCCCTGGCTCAGCTCAAGGCCATTCCCTTCATTTTTCCTTCCCTTTCTGTCTTCCTTCGAAACCAACACTCCCAAACAACAGCTGCTGCATTTTTTCAGTGCAGTTTCCATCTCCTAATATAGTTTGGATTGATTTCCAGTAGATTCCAACCATGGTAGGGTTGGACTCGGTGATCTTTGAGGTCTCTTCCAACCTGGTTGATTCTCTGATTCTGTCAATGATGTATGTATAAATTAACCACTCTGATTTCCAGATGTAATACCTGTCAACATTACCTTTGTCATGTTTTCCTCCTTCACCTGAGCATTGCATCTTTTTATTACATATGTCTTTGTCTTTATTCCTTTTAGACAAGTTCTATATGGGACCAGGACAACTGTACCATGACCTGCAGAACCTTTTGCACGACTTGAACGTACTTGGGCAAATCACTCAGTTAATAAACAGCCTTAAAGGAAACTATCAGGTAAGAAACAGAGCTGGGTTTGTTTCTCAAGTCTGTTCCTGTTGTAAAGGAGCACAATTGTCTCTCCCTAGGGTTGTACAAGGCATTCTTCAGTTGTCTCTGCAGAGTGGAATCATTTTTACCTCTAGTGATGCATTTGCTGCTGTTTAGTGTTGTAAGTAGATTATAACTGTCCTAATCTCATTTTCCTTATTGTCTTTCAGTGTAGGTGGATCCTGCAAGTGTCTGTGTTTGTTCAGGGCTTGATAAGCTTATATGGAAACAGAATTACATGTTGACATTAAGAAATTGGATTCTTGCAGTTAGACAAATTAGGAGGAGGATGGTTGTGTGAAGGAAGCTCTTGATGCCTATCCAGGCTCATAATCTTGGCTTTCAGGGGAAAATTGGATTTCAAACTGAGTGTAAATCCCAAAAATAGAGGGGAATTTTGAAAGTATTTTGCTCTGGCTTTGTTCACATCCCTTTGATTTAGCATATATCCTGGCAAACAGATATAGTACTTAATGCCACATTTCAGAGTGAGTTGTCCACACCTTTGAGGCTTTAAAGAAATTGCTATTTTGCCTGTTGTTTTATGTATTTTATTATGCTTTTGCAATTTTTAACTCCTACCTGACAGCACAGGTTGTAAATAGGTGTGTGTGTGGATATCTGGGAGCTGAGCTTCTCTTGGGTCATCTTGGCTTGAGAGCCAGGGCAGTAAATAAAACATAGCACAAAATATGTACTCTGAGGGAAGAGCATGGAAACTTTGCTTTTGGACCAAGAGCCACAGGTGTTTGAAGGTGAATCTCATCTACATAACTGGGACTATGTATAGCACTGATCCCCTCAGACATTGACCCATTAACACACACAAACCCTTTCTGCCTGTGCTGCCAGAGCCAGCTCCGTGCTGAGACCTTACAACTCTGTGTTTCCAGGCAGAGCTGTGTAAGGCAATGACAAGAATTTAGCTAAGGAATGAGCTCAGCTTCTCTGTGGCTGGAAAACACTTTTATTTGCCTAAAATTCTGTCTGTGGAAAGTGTTTCCTTTTGTGGACATGTTAGTCTTGGTGCTCCAAGTGCCACTCAGGTGTGATTTCACCCTCTGGGACAGTGCACACAGCTTAAGATGCTTTAGCATCTGAAACAGATTCAGACCACACAGGCAGCTTTCAGGCTGGTTCTCTGAACATTTTGGCCCAAAGATGTGAGTAAAACCATGTTGGAGATGTTTCAATGAGATTTTCTCATGAGGAGCAGAATTTGTGGATTCTGGAGTAATATAAAAAGCTGCTGTGTACACCTGCTGCAATTTTGCACTTTTAAAATCTGACAGATGCTTGGGAATGTCACTTGTGTACCATCAAACTCTGAGCAATGCGAGATTAAATCATCAGGTCAAATATGTTAGCAAAGGTTTTACAGATGTGTCCGAATTATCCATGATTAAAATGTGGACTGATTGAGGCTCAGGTGCCAGGAATTGTTTGTTAAATGCAGAGATCACCTCAGTTAGCCTGTTGGAAATAGTAGGCTGGTGGTGAACCTTAGTTTTTTTTAATTTTTCAGAACCTGAACCAATCTGTAGCCCATGACTGGACCTCAGGTTTACAAAAGCTGATTCTGAAAAAGGAAGATGAGATCAGAGCAGCAGATCGCTGCAGAATTCAGCTGCAGCTCCCAGGAAAACAGGACAAGTCAGTAATAATCTAAATAACTTTCTAAATGTATCAGGTGTATGTATCAGTCATAGATGTACTGGGGAGGATTGGGGAATCTGCAGCTCTTCCTTCTCTTCTGTCTCTGTGGTTAGCACCTGACTTGGCTCTTGTGCTGTAATGTTGGGAGCTTGAATGCTCCAGAGTATCACAGATGAGAATACTCAGAGCTGGAAGGGAATAATGAGGATCCCCCAGCCCAACCCCTGCCCTGCACAGACATCCCTGACACTCACACCCTGTGCTGAGAGCATTGGCCAAACACCTCTGGAGCTCTGTCAGCCTTGGGGCTGTGACACTGCCCTGGGAGCTGTTCAGGGCCCAAACACCTCTGGGGAAAGAAGAACCAGTTGCTAATCTCCAGTCTGTAGTTTTTGTCCTGTTCCTCAACCCATGGCTGCAGGTGCAAGAAGCAGCAGAGGAAATGTGGCAGTGACAGCTAATAGGGAACAGCCACTGTTGGAATCCTTTGCCAAAGAGGGTGTTCCTCTCATAGCATTTCATGTAAAGTTTGGGAAGGCAAATGTATGTCATGTCATAGCCTGCATGCTTGTCATGGAATCAGGGCTGGAGGAGACCTCTGAGATCATCCAGTCCAACCATGAACCTGTCACTGCTGGAACCCCCAAACCCTAACCCAGATCCTGCAGTGCCACATCAGACACCTCTGAAACACCTCCAGGGATGGTGACTGCACCACCTCCCTGGGCAATATCCAGTGCTGAACACCACAACAGGGAAAACATTTCTCCTCACACCCAATCTGACTCTGCCCTGGCTCAGCTCAAGGCCATTCCCTCTCTCCTCTCCCTCAGCCCTGGCAGGACACACATCCCACACCTCTCTCCAGCCCTGGCAGGAGTTGCAGAGAGCCAGGAGGTCACCCCTGAGCCTCTTCTCCAGGCTGACCAACCCAACTCCCTCAGCCCTTCCTCATATGACATGTTTTATATCAGAACTGTGTCTTTTTCCATGTGTTAGAAAATAATGAAATTCAGTTTGCTCATCATTCCCAGACTTGGCTCTGTCTCATCCTCAATCCATTTAAAGGGATTTTCTTTCTATTGCAGGTCTGGGAGACCAACTTTCTTTACAGCTGTGTTCAATACATTTACCCCTGCCATCAAACAGTCCTGGATCAACAACTTACAAATGGCTAAACTGGCCCTTGGTAATTCTTAGTTACTCAGATTTTCTGTCAAGTTAAAATAGCACTCAATGTACAGTGTAATATTTTTGTTTTATAGAGAATGAATTCTCTTTGGTGAAAAATTATCTGTAGATGTTTAAAATTACAATGCAGTAAATAGTTTGTGTATCACTAGAAAGCATCACAGAATAACCAGATCTGGAAGGGAATCCTTGAGGATCACCCAGCCCAACCCCTGTCCTGCACAGACATCCCTGACAGTCACACCCTGTGCTGAGAGCCTTTTCCTTTTTCAATAATTAATTGATGAGGTCATTAAGAGAACACCCCTAACATTTTGCTAGCATAAGATGTTCTTTTTTTGCATTTTCAGTAGTATTAATTGATGAGGTCATTAAGAGAACACCCCTAACATTTTGCTAGCATAAGATGTTCTTTTTTTGCATTTTCAGTAGTATCTGATCTACTCAGTTGAATTTTTGCTCATAGTCTCATGTTGTCATTTATGCACAGATGGCCTAAGAACAGCCTCATCAGTATTAACTAGTGCTAACAGAATTCTTCTCTTTTCCTGTAGAGAAGTGTGATTATTCAGTGAAAGTGTTGTGTTTGTTGTTTGTTCTTTTCCTTACAGCTGAGGATAACCTGTTGGGTTGGTTCTGTGTAGAAGATGATGGGAATCAAATCAAAAAGGAGAAACATCCTCTTCTTGTTAGACACATGCCAGTGATGATGGCCAAGCAACAGGAATTTAAGGTGAGCAGAATGTTTCTATGAGATTACAATTGTGCTTTTCTGGTGTGATTTAACTGCTAAAGAATGATTACAATTGTGCTTTTCTGGTGTGATATAACTGCTGAAGAAATACCATATTGTAAATGCATCTGTTAGTTCTCTCGAGTTACTCCCAGGGCTCAGAAACAAGGCCAGTCCTATTTAACATCTTTATTGATGATCTGGACTTGGGGATTGAGTGACCCTCAGGAAATCTGGAGAGGATACTAAATTGGGTGGGAGTGAGGATCTGCCTGAGGGTAGGAAAGCTCTCAGAGAGACCTGGACAGACTGGGTCAGTGGCTGAGGACAACTGCAGGGGGGTCAGGAAGGCCAAGTGCTGGTTCTGCCCTTGGGACACAACAAGCCCATGCAGCTCCAGGCTGGGGGAGCTAATACTAATCAGGTTGTCTCTAGTGCTGCAATACAATCACAATGACATTGATGTCTGAGATAAGAACATCAGTGTGAATTACAGAGACTCCTGGGTAAAGATGTAGTATCACCCCTCGTCAGAAAGCTTTTTATTCTCTACACAGCCATACATTGCTTTTCTCTATTTTGAAGCATTTACATAAGCCTTAGAGAACTCTGCCATGGATATCAGGGAAGCTAAAAATCCATGACTGCTCATAAAAGTGTCTTTTCCAGATCCTGGATGCTTGAATCATCTCCAGAGTTGGGATAGGATTAAATATAGATCTTAAGTTTTGTGTAGCTTTCAGATTTCAGCCCTGGATGATAATGGTGATTAATTTGCTGACAGGACATGATGACATGGGGTTGGGAGGGAGTCAGGGGCATTATGGATGATAGCATTAGCATTCAACATGAGTATAGCACCTGGAGAAATAATTTGAGGGGAAAAAGAGAAGAAAGGGATGACAGGCAGTAGGACAGACACATGGTATACTCAGAGAGTAGAGAAGAAAGGGATGACAGGCAGTAGGGCAGACACATGGTATGCTCAGAGAGGAATTAAGAGCTTCAGAAGTACAGATGGAAGAAGTAGAAGATCTGGTAAAGTAATTTTAATAGACCAACAAGCTAAGGAGTGTTTAGGAATGGAATCATAGAATAGATTCATCAAGGTTGGAGGCTGATACATCTGCTGGAGAGATGCTAGTGGAAAAAGTGATGATGATAATAATAATGCTAATAATTTTAAAAACAAGTCTTTAAAAAACAATTATTTGTGGTTTTTTTTTTCCTATGCAAAAATGTAATTAATTAAGTGATAATATTAGTTTACCCTAATGGAGAGGAGTTTCAGGCAGGGTCATGACATGGATCAATCAGCCTTATATGAAAAAGGACATGGTAGATGAAGAGCAGTACCTGGTGGCTGAGGTGAGAGGTGACAGGCTGAGGATTACAGCACGGGTGGTGTGAGGTTGGGTGTTTGGAAAAACTTCATAAAAAAAGTCATGAAGCAATTCACAGAACCACAGAATAGCCAGACTCAGAAGGGACCCTTGGAGATCACCTAGTCCAACTCCTGTCCCTGCACTTCCTTCCCTGAGGGAGTTGTCCCAGCCATGAGCTCTGTGCTCAGTCTCCTCTTCTCCAGCTGAACAGCCCAAGTGCCTCAGCCACTCCTCACGTGCCTTCCCCTCAAGGCCCTTCCCCATTTCGTTGCCTCCTTTGGACACTCTGCAGGAACTCAATCTCTTTCTCACACTGAGGTGCCCAAACTGCTCACACTGTTCCAGGTGAGGCTGCCCCAGCACAGAGCAGAGCAGGACAATCCCCTCCCTCTGGCCATGCCTTGCCTGATGCCCCAGGACACGATGTCCCTCCTGCTCTCAGGGCTCACTGGGACTCAGACCCAACTTGCCATGGACCAGGACCCCCAGGGCCCTTTCCAGCACTACTTCCCACCCTCTCATTCCCAGTCTCTAGGTTCAGCCAGGGTTGCCCCATCCCAAGTGCAGAATCAGCCACTTGCCCTTGGAGCAGATGAACTAGAGAATTTGTAGCCTTTGGCTTCAAATGTGTGTAAGAGCAGATAAGGAATGTGTTGGGAATCATCCCCATGCAGCTGCCCCTGCCCATGGGGAGCTGGATGGACTGCGCTGTCTCCTTGGCTCTTGGGATCCTTTGGCATTCTCAAATGCCAAAATGGGCAGGAACAGGCACATCTTTTTAATGTGGCAACAGCTCTTTTCCTCTGTCTGAAGGTTGAATGTGCTGCCTACAATCCTGAGCCATATCTCTCTGGAGAAGCAGAGTCAGATTCCTGTGCTATGGAACATGGTTTTCTCTGGGTAAGTGCAAGCTCTAAAGGCCACAAAGAAGTTCTCTCCTGCCTCTCTCTGTTGCTTTTTTGTGGCTCTGGTCAACATAGAGACCTGAAAGAAATCTTGGGTTGGTTTTTTTCCCCCTTTATTTAAACATAGACTTCTAGGAAGCATAGCTAGCAACCTGCCCATGTGGTCTTGCTGCTCTCTGGGGTGTGTTGGTTGTGTGTGTGGTTCCTTAGGGCAGCACAGAATGAATTCCACAGTGCTGAGCACATTCAGCAGGGAGTTATGTGCTAACTTAGTGAGTGAGGCTGCTCAAACCGAGATGAGCTCACTCTGTCCTACTCTTTTTGCATATTTTAAGACAGTTTTAGCCATAAATAATCTGTTTAAATCTGTACATGGCAAAAAAACCCCCCTACTCTGGCATATTGTGATGACCTCCAATATGCTGATAGTGCAGCAAAGGAGGTAGAGAATAGTTGGTTTTTTCTTAAAAGAAGTAAGCTAATTATTTCAGGAGCTTTTTTGTCACTGCAGCACTGAGATGTTCAGGGAACCCTTGTGAATTAAAGGTCAGAAATAGCTTTTGCCTAGTGCCTGTATCAAGGTGACCTGTATAATTTCTTCATGTCTTTGCCACTTGTAAAGTCATCACAAATCTGTGCCAATTAAATCTTTCTACTGCCACAAAACATTCTCCTTCCTAAGTTTTTTTTCCATTTCACATAAACATAAAGAGTTACTGCATAAAAACATTTCCTGCTACTTGTGTAGGTTTTTTGTTCTACTTCTTTTTTTTTTACTTCTCCCTCATCCCTAAAATGTACAAATTTGTGGATGTATTGATGACACTTCAGTTATGGATCAGGAAGAAATTTAGGATCTTGTGTCAGCAAGTTTACAAAAGGGATTACATTAATAATACTAATTTTATGTTGTTTTATAGTAATAATTTATGAGGTTTTTATTAATAATTTATTAATTATATATGTCCCAATTAAGTGAATTAATTCATTGGGTGCATAATAATCAAGAAAGTATTATCTATTAATAGAATTTGTTATATATGATGATATTTATTACATATGTAATGTATTTCAGGGGATTATATCTAACTGATCAGTTGGGACAGAGCATTTCTTTGTAGGCCTCTCCCTGTGCCAAGGAAAGGTCTCAGCTCTGTTGTCTCGTTCAAGAGAACCTGAGCTAACCCAGGACAGTGGTTTTTGAAATAGTACATTGCACAGGAACTTGGTCTTAATTGCATTGCCAGGGCTGGGGCAGCCACAGCCTCCCTGGGCACCCTGGGACAGGGTCTCACCACCAGAACAGGGAAACTTCTGCCTAAGATCTAACCTAAATTTCCCCTCCTTCCATTTGCACCCATTGCCCCTTGTGCTGTCCCTGCAGCTCCTAACACAGATCCCTCTGCAGCTTCCCTGGAGCCCCTTCAGCTCCTGCAAGGTGCTCTGAGCTCTCCACACAACCTTCTCTTCTCCAGGCTGAACAGCCCCAACTCCCTCAGCCTGTGCTCACAGGGAGATGCTCCAGTGCTCTGAGCAGCTTTGTGGCCTCCCCTGGACTTGCTCCAGCAGTTCCATGTCCTTTTTATCTTGAAGCAATATTCACACACATAACTGAGCTGCTCTCACTCTTCAGTTTCCATTCCAGTCATTCCTCCTGGTGAATGCTGATCCTTCCTGGAGAGAGGTATGTCCTAGTGTATTTTTCATTCTCCTCTTCCCCACTCAGATTGGCAGTTGCACAAACCAGATGGGGCAGATTGCAATCGTCTCCTTCCAGAGCTCCAGCCCCAAGGTCATCGAGTGCTTCAACGTGGAGTCCAGGATTCTCTGCATGGTCTACATACCAGGGGAGGAGAAGCTGAGAGAGCAAAACAAACCTTCAGACTCTGAAAATGTCTTTGCACAAACTTCTAATGTGCCTACTATTTGCCTTGGCATGGAGGAAGGAAGGTGATTCTTGGCTTGTGGTGTCATGTGTATGATTTATTCATTGGGTTTACTATTCTCTAGCAGAATTTTGTGAGATGCTTCCAGGAAAATGTTTACCTGTTACAAAAGTATTGGTGTGATCCCTTTGACCTCAACATATCCACTTCAATCAAGGCAAAAACACACTCTGCTTGATTTTAAGCTGCACTGTGTAGCATTTGAAGCTACAACAGTGCATCTCTTGGATGAAAGGAGGATTAATTCAGCACACAGAATGCCTGGAAAATGTAAATATCACTTTTGTGGTGTTGCAACATAATCTTCAGGCAACTTTCAGTGTGAGAATGTGTAAATGAGGAACACACTAACCCTCTGTGCTGTGATATTCTGGAGGATTTGTTGCTGTTTTCTGTTGAGCTGAATTATTTTGCTCTATTTGAACTGATGCCTTACTGTGTCATCACTTATTTAAAGAACAAGGCTCTGTTTTCTGACATTATAGGGCAGTGACCAAACAGATCTTGTTGTAGCCAGTCAGGACATAAGTGTGTAACCACATGTGATTTTTGGAGGTGTTTCTAACCAGCATAAATGAAGGAGAGCAAAATTCTCCAAGGAAAATACCATTTTTCCAGAACTTAATGAAATTAATTCAAGATTTGACAATGTTCCTAACATACACTTGGTACAAATCTGTGTGAATGATCTAAATCTTAAGTACAATTGACATCTGGTAGTGAGTTTTCCTTCTCTTCTCCCTAGTTCTCCAGGTAATACTTCAGTATTGTTTTAAAGCTAACAGAAGTTCTGGATAGACTCACAATGAGGACTTTGAACACAATTTGTGTTATGTGTCTTAGTTGAATCAATGTTTCTCCAGACAAGATGATATGAAAGTGTTGCCATGTGTCAATGTTAAGTGATTGCAAATTATCTGCATAGACATTTTGAAGTGTCAAGATACTCCTCATGCTAATCATCCTATGAATGGAAGGAGAAAATCTTCCTCCACCCCCAGTATATTATTCTAACCCTCTCTTGTGCATACTCTAATAAGAACTACATAAAACATTTCACAGCTTCATTTTTTTCTCGCTTCTTTTTCTAGCATTTCTATTTACAAGAGCTGCCAAGGCTCTAAGAAAATTCGACTTCAGCACTTCTTCACTCCTGAAAAATCAACTGTTATGAGCTTAACATATAGGTCTCTATACTTGTTTGCTGGCTTGGTCAATGGAAACATCTCAATCTACACCAAAGCAGAAGGTAAGTTAGGATATGGTTTGATGACATCCTGAGGAACTCACGTGCATGTTTTGGCAGAAGTAGTTTTCCACTTTGTCAAACTGCTGACCTAAGGTCACTTCTCTTTCCTATCTGAACAGACTTGTTTGCTCTGATAGTGTTTCCACTTTCACCAAAGATGCGTATGAAAACTGCTTTTTTTTTCCCCCCATAGTGTTTCCACTTTCACCAAAGATGCATATGAAAACTGCTTTTTTTTTTTTTTCCCCCTCAGCACAAACCCTGAGGTCTTTGGAGTCCAGAGGTTCTTGTGCTAACAGGCAGGGTACTGTGTTTTGCACAGCACAACACCAGTTCCTCTCAACTGCCCAGTGCTGGTGTTTAAAATTGTCTGTTGATAGATTCCTGTGTATCTTCATTTGAAATGACAACCCCATTTTAATGTACAGGTAGGATAAGTCTTTCCTACATGTGCAGCTCATGTGCTGCATGGTAGGACTCCTTTGCTATTAGCATCACACCTGGTTGGTTTGCATCTAGTGAAGTAGTTGGCTAAAATGATTTGGATAAAGGAGAATCCTGGGTAATTTTTCTGAACCAGAGTTGGTTCAGGTGCTTGTTTTTTGCCATAGGTCACCCCAGCAGCAGCCAAGCCCCACACAGCCACTCACTGCCCACCAGTGGGATGGGGAGGATCAAAAGGGTGAAAGCAGAGAACTCAGGGGTTCAGATAGAGTTTAATAGGGAAAGCAAAAGCTGCACACACAAGCAAAGCAAAACAAGGAATTAAATCACTGTTTGCTTGTCAGGGAGTGGAGAGAGCCAGGAGGTCACCCCTGAGCCTCTTCTCCAGGCTGACCAACCCAACTCCCTCAGCCCTTGCCCATGTGCTCTGCCCTTTGCTGCCCTCGTTGCCCTTGGCTGGACTCGCTCAGTGCCTCAATGGCCTTTGGGCAGTGAGTGCCCAAAGCTGAGCACAGCACTGAGCTGGGACCTCCCCAGTGCCCAGTGCAGGGGGTACAGTGTGTCTTGTTTCAGTTCTCCATGCCCAATGGACGTGGTGTCCTTCAGCTGCTCTCACATTAGCATCTGTCCTCCCTGGAGTTGGCTGCTGTGGTTCTGTGACCAGTGAGCCCTGCAGGGGTGTTTTTCTGAGCACTGACCTATTTAACCAAACAAAGCAATCCGAGTGGTGAAATGGAGGGAGGAGGAATGCAGCCTCTGAGTAGCTTTGTGCAATTTGTCAGAGTTGCCTTCTATTCTCCTGACTGGGCTCCTTTCCAGCCATGCATCTCAGCTTCAGTTGTGGTTTGTCATCATAAATGAGATTAAGGAAGGATTTGACAACTATATATCACTGCATTACAACAAGTCTTGGTTTTGAAGCCTGAGAAGGAAAAACACTGTGAGATGCACAGGTAAAACAGTTGTGCAGTCTAGTATGGGATTCCATGAATGAAAAGGGATAATCTTTCTTCTGGGAGGAAAATCCTACCTTACAGTCTCTGAGAGTTGTGATCCTTTTGTCTTCCTCCCTGTGCAGAAAGTGTGGTGGCTCAGTTCAGTCAATGAAGCTTGATGTCTTGCTGTATGTAATCCAAGACCCAGGACTTCTACTGTTTGGTTCTCAGTACCTGAAGAGCTCTAATTTCTCCTGTTGTTTTCAGATAACTCAGTGTATGTGAATATCCACCTTGTTTATACACAGCCAGTGCTCTTTCCTGACTTTCTTCAGGAGAGAACTTTGATAGACTGACAGCATCCAGAGTCACTTCTGGATCTGTGTATTTTAACACAGAAGCTAAAAAGTGCTTAAGCCTTAATATATTGTGCAGAGTCAGTGAGATTGGAAGGGACCACAGTTGGTCATTGGTCCAACCTCCCTGCCCAGGCAGCTCCTTCCCAGGGCACAAGGCTCAGGGTTGTGTGTTTGACCATACACTACAAGCTAAGTCAGTGAGGTGCTAATAACATAAAAATCCACTCAGCTTTTAAAGGTGAGCCAACATTTGGGCTGTGAAAGTGTCAGATATAGGTCAGGTAATATGTTATCCTGAAAATAGTTGCCCTGATAATTATACTCGATTTTATCAGGATTTTATCCTTGATTTTATGTGGTTGAGAAGACTAGTTTGGGGAACTGTGGAACAGCAGATGTATTAAATGCTGTGGTATATAGGAATGGCAGCAATGCAGGTGGCAAAATTCCTCACACCTTGTGTCAGGAACTTGATTTATGGGTCTATGAACTTCTGCACAGTTATCAGGCTGAAAAATCCCACGTTCAGTGTTTGTCTTATGCTGAGTTATTAGGAATATTTCCAGGCAAAACACTTCTAGAAGAGGTTAAGGAACAAGTACATTGTATTCCCTTTGTTTCAAAGAGCACAACAAAACCCCTTTGTGGTGGCTGCAGACAGCCCAGCAGATGTGTTTGCTGAGTGATGTCAGAGCAGAAAAGGTCAGTGTGTGTTTGACTTCCATTGACAAAAGTATCTCAGGAAAGGGAAATCACCATTTCTGTATCATATAGGTGTATTGTTCCCGGTACACTGCAGTCAGTTCCAGCTACTTCCTTTCTTCTGGACATTGACATACATTTCCTTTGCATGAAGTCCTGTAAAGAGTATGGAGAGAAACAGGAAAGAGAGAATAAAAACTCAGAGTGGTTGTGGCAGAAGGCAGAAGAGTTAAGATAGTAGTAGTTTCAGAAAACTTTTGGTTGCATAGCAACCTTGAGCAACCTGATCTAGTGAGGAGGTGTCCAGCCCAGGGCAGGGGTTGGATGATCTCTGAGGTCCATTCCAACCCCTACATTCTATGATTAAATGATTCTTTAACACAGAAACCTTCGTTGCCTCTCACCTTCTTGTTTGTAGTGTCTCAGCTCTGACATGGAGAAGGGATGGCAATGCTGCCATTGCCACTCTGTGTCCCTCCCCTGGGTGGTCAGAGGTCTCTTCTGGTAGCCCAAAGGTCACAGAATCATAGAATGTAAGGCTTGGAAGGGTTGCTGTGAAGAGCAAGGAGTGGTATGATCTGTGAGGGAGAGAACCAGTGCAGGGATATTGGAAAGCAAATAAATCCTCTTGTCTGGACTGTGTTATCACTGTTAGCTCTATCACATACCAGAAATACACTGACATTGCTCAGTCTTACCTGTGTATCTCATGTTGGGACCTCCAGCACCACCCCATGACTTTAGGCACAGATCTGTCAGCTATGTACCAGGAAGAATTTGGTGCATATGTAGAGGAAAAAATAGATTCTGCATGTGTAGCACAGAACATTCCTAGTTCCAGCTTGTTTAGAAAAGCAGACCTGAGTCTCTCAGCTAATTTCCAAGGGATGAGGAATGTGCTAAACCTTTTGCTTCTGTAGCTCCCATTTCACTCCTCCACAGTGCTGGTTTGTGCACCATGTGATGGAAAAAATGTTTGTGCTCCACTGCACAAATTAACCAAGGACCAGAGTTCCCAGGGCTGTGTTGGCAGCATCAATAGTGCTGCTAAGGAGAGAGGAAGCTATCAACAAAAAAAGCATGTTTGGTTCAGCTTGACTGAAAGAGTAAAGGAAAGGAAAACCACTAGAAACTTTCTGAGGAAATAGACTATGTGTTGATAGGTTATCTCATATGAAGACTTCAGCAAACAACTAATTATAATTACTAAAAATACTAAATATTGAGGGATTATTTATAAATTAAATTATGAGAAACCTATAAAATTGCTGCAAAATAATATTACTTCCCTTCATTGGGTGCATCAATGGAAATAATGTAACTATAACTTGCAGACTGGATGATCTCAAGGTCTCCTCCAACCTTGATGATTCTGTGATTCTATGCTAAGAGTCTACACTTGCTTTGATGTCAGTTTAAGATCCAAGCCATCTAAACCTTGCAGATACAGTAATCTTTGTGGTATTAGTACTTGTCTGGACTTTGCTCACAGAGTGGAAGGAAAATCCATCTCTCTCTTCTCCCACTGTTTCCTTCAAGTTGCCACAGGCTTCAATCTTGTATCTGCTCAGGGTGCAGGTACCTGATTTCCACAGGCAGACTCTGCTTATAGGATATATGTGCTGCATATTGCATCTCATTTGGTGTCTGTGTACTTACCTCACACGTAGAAGACTTTATTGCCTGTGATTTTTCAGCATTCTAGAGACAGTAGCAACTATAAAATCTTCACACAATCACAGAATAACCAGGGTTGGAAGGGACCCTTCAGGGTGCAGGTACCTGATTTCCACAGGCAGACTCTGCTTATAGGATATATGTGCTGCATATTGCATCTCATTTGGTGTCTGTGTACTTACCTCACACGTAGAAGACTTTATTGCCTGTGATTTTTCAGCATTCTAGAGACAGTAGCAACTATAAAATCTTCACACAATCACAGAATAACCAGGGTTGGAAGGGACCCTTAAGGATCATAGAATCATAGAATTTAGGGGTTGGAATGCAGAGATGATATGATCCAGCCCCAAGCCCTGCCCTGGGCAGGGACACCTCCCAGCAGAGCAGGTTGCTCAAGGCTCATCCAACCTGGCTGTGAACACTGCCAGGGTTGGGGCAGCCACAGCCTCCCTGGGCACCCTGGGACAGGGTCTCACCACCCTTGGAGTAAAAATCTTTTTTCTCACATCCAACCTAGATTTTCTCTCTTTCAGTTTGAACCCATTACTCCTTGTCCTGTCCCTGCAGTTCCTAACACAGAGTCCCTCTCTGGCTCCTTGTCAGCCCTTCAGATTCTGGAAGGTGCTCTGAGTGATTTTCATTGTCTTTAAACAACTGGTGAACTCGACACAGACTTGCTAAGTAATTTTGGAGATGGGTGATAAAGCTCTTGGTCAGCAAAGTGATGTTGTGATCTTGCTTTTAGCCTGAGTGTGTTGGATCACCAGGCTTCAGCCCTTGCCTTGCTTGAGAGGATTTTTCCCCTTGCTTTCCACTCTCAGGAGCCTTCCCTGGCTGCCACAGAATAAGAGGAGAGACACACAGTGCTTAGTTTCTCCTCCTGGTGCTTTGTGTAGTTAATTAAGCATTCACTGGGGCAGGACCAGGACACGTCTGACCCATCCTTTAAATGCTGCCCTAATTACCAGACTGGAGAGCCTCCCCCTGCCCTGTGCTTTCCCCCTCATCTGTCTCGGGTGCTGTCTGCTCTGGGAGACAGCAATGCTTGCAAGAAGAAATTACAGAGACCAGAGAAAAGCCTTATCCCATGGCCAGGGTAGAGTGACAGTTTGGGATTTCTCCTGGGCTGATACACCAAGTGGGATTGCAGGTTTTTTTGCATGAAGTCATGGTAACATGAAAGACATCAGGTCTCTCT